TTCTACAAAAATTATTCTTCCACAACTTCAAATATACCTTATCCTTTTCACAGCTGTATCAAAAATGTTTATAATTTATTCCTAAAATAGCAATGGTATTCACATTTTGGTGGACTTCAACATAATCAGTGTTATTGTTACCGAAACCCCAAAGGTCTGTTTGCTAGCCACTCAATAGCCAATAATTGAGAGACAAGTGTTGGGGTAACGAAAGGCAGCCTTTAATCAGGAAGCCTGTGGCCTGGGGAAATAGTAGACTCATGTCTTAAAGGCCATTTCCGCTTTTCCCAAACTTGCCAAAGGGTTTTATAGGGACAGGTGGTAGGGTACTGATTCATGGTGATGTAAGCAGGGATGTGCAGGCATAATCATAAAATTGCAGGTAAACATCTAAGAACTTCTCAGATGGGAGCTGATTTATTGTGACCGTCCTCCATGAAGTCAAGCCATGGATTCAGTTCCTGTCAGCCTCAAAAAGATCTAGTTAATAAGCTAGTAAAGAATGGCCACCAGGGTTAATAATTTCTTTGATAATTATTCTGTGTACAGTGTGAGCAAAAGTCACAATGTTCTAGCAATTGTGAACGGGAATTATTGTATTCCAATGTCCAGCTGCAAGCTATGTAGTTTGGGTTACTAGAGTAAGAAAAAGAACTTTATAATTTAGAAGTTTAACAAAATGGAGTCACTTCTGTTCAGCCTGTTACATAACAACTGGTTTAATAGTGATTTTTAGTAATGATTTGTAGTTCAGCTACATGGATTTATTGATTTAGTGCTTCAGATATCTCCTCTTATGAATTTCTTGTAGCTTACCAGTACATAGAGGAAAGATGCCTGCAAAATTCCATTCCAATTCTCCGTGGACCCCTTCATTCCATGTGGCACACTTAATAAAAGAAAATGTCGGATTCTGATTATTTTTCATTGAATAGATTATCTGTGTATATATGTATATCACATAATTTTCTATAAACCTATAATTCATTAATTTAGAGATCAAAAATGAAAATAGTTTAAAATATATTTTATTTCCACTTTTACCATTATAATAGTGTTACATTTGGATAAAACTGGAAAGGACCTCTCTAGGCCACGTGGTCTATTAATGCAGGAAATAGCTCCCTGCTCCCTCCAAACTGTTTTCTTAAGGCTCAGAATCCTCTTAACATAAATTCGAGGCTGAAGCAAATTCCTTTTGGGAGCATTTTGAAAATCAAAATAGCTGCATTTGAACCCCATACCTTTACTTTAATCTTATACAACACTTATACGCTGTTAGAACGGGGATGTAGTTCATTTCGCTAGTTCCCACGAGGAATTGAGAAAATACACACCTAATTTAATTTGGATGACTGAAGCCTGGAGAGGATGGAGAAAACAATATGAAAGAAAACAGCCACAGGGATTGAAAGTGGTGGTTGGAGGAACTCTGAAAAGTGTAATCAGTGGGATGTAGGTGTTGGGTCTGACTTTGAAATATGGCAGGATTAGGTGATGGTCACTCATTCGAAACTGGCAGCAGAATTACATCACTGCTCTGGGCCACTCTGATTTTTATTAACAAAATCAAAGTACTGGACCACAGTTATCTCTAGGATTACCTCCAGGTTGCAAACCAACATAGAGCACCGTTATGCCTGGGAGTTGGCATGGCTGGTGTCCCTTCTGGAGGGCGATGCAATGTTTCCTCCCGGAGCCTCAGGCTGCATCCCCCGCCGTTGCCTGGCAACACTTGACGCCTCGGGGGCGTGGCCCAAGAGCTGTGGATGTGCGGAGACCACAAACCCTTGCTCCTGTCCACGTGTTGCTCTCCTGTTCACGTGTTGCACGGGTAGAAAAGAGACGTTCAAAAGACCTCCTGAGCCCTCCATCAAAAACTTTCCGTGAAGGTCAGTGGAAGATCCAAATGTTTTCACTGAAACAACGTTTATTAAGAAAAGAGAGCGTACTAGGTATAAAAGTCCGCGTTTGGGGATGGCGGAAGGGGTTGTGGGGCTTTACAGTCTGAAAGCACTTTTTGTTATCTATGTCT